GTGTGTGTGAGCACCTATGTGCGTGTGCATGTGTGAGGACCTGTGTGGGCTTGCAGGATGCAGCCAATCAATGATTTTCTCTTGTTATTGATGTTTCTATCTCTCTCCCTCTCCCTCTCTGAAATCAATAATAATAAAAAAGAAGCTTAAAAAAAGGAGAAGAAAAAAGAAAGAAGAGGAGATGGGACACGAACACGCAGAGGGGCGACCACGTGAGGACCCGGGGAAGGTGGCCGTCCACACGCCCAGGAGAGAGGCCTCGGGGAGCCCGCCCGCAGCACCTGCCCTGGGACCCGGGCTCCAGGACGGGGAGAGTCTCTGGGTGCTGTTCCCGCTTCCTGTGGGTGCTGACTGACCCCCACTCAGTGTCTTGTTTCTGGCCACGGCCAGTCCTGCCCCAGCCCTGGACGTCCGTGTGGCTCCCACGCCCCTGGTTTCTGGGCCGCCTTCCTCACCCGCTGGGCTGGATGCTGGCTGAAGGGGGGGGGGTGCGAGGAGAAGGAGGCAGAGGGGGGCAGGTCGTGGTGCTGGGAGTGGGTGCTCCCCCCCCCCCAAGCCTCCATGGGCTGTGGACTCACGAGGCGCCAGCACAGGGAGATTCCGTGAGGCAGGGATGTGTAAGGAGCTTTTATTGTCGTTAAACACACGCACCACACACACTGCACACACCAGTAGAGACAATGAACGGGCTCCAGAAAATTAAACAGAAAACGAAAGCGGCCCAAGCTACAAGGTGCATTTCCTTGGAATCATCTCTGCGCGCCCCCTGCCTCACAGGGTTCGCGTCGCCCTCCTTCCCAGCGGGACGTGCCGAGGGGCGCTCCCTGGGGATCGGACGTCTGTCCACCTCCGGTCCCCATGGCGGGCGGCGTTCTCGGTCCAGTGCTCTCAGCTCTCACCGCTCAGCCCCCCGCCCGGAGCAGGGCTACCTGGGAGGGCGAGGGCGGGACTCAGGCCTGAGCTCCGACCTGGGCCCTCCAGGGTGCTGCACCTCCACACCCACGTCCCCCTCTGTCCACGGAGGCTGGGTCCCACCTGCTGGGACCTGGTCACCAGGCCCCGCCCCAGGAGGCCTGCAGGCC